CCTCAATAACGTTCCTGGCAACTGATCCCTCGTTGCGGACTATTAATTGATAATTTCCTGCATAACCAGGTCCACCGTATGCATTTGTACGCCTGCGGCTATCGAAATGCACTTCATTGCATGTAGTTCCACTTGTCGTTGAGCTGTTCCAGGTGAATCTCCCCACGGCACGATTCAACAAGAACAAACCTTGGTACAGCGGTAATCTTGGCTCTTCCTTGACGTGCTGTATGTATAACTGCAACAGCTCCACTGGCTCTACTCCTTACTGCTTAAGATAATAGAGCCGGCAGCAGTGACCAGCAATGGCCGAAGCCTGTCCAACACCGCGACAGACGAAACCAAACCAGTGCGCACAGTTCGGGTGATGGTAAACGCACGACCGCACCCTGCTGAGGCACGGGTAATCTTTTCGAGCTACCGTGGGTGCGTCGTAACGAGCCGTTCGTCATACTTTGGAATCTTACCGTTGGACACTTGCCAACAACGACTTTTTTTTTCTTAATATCACACAACTAATCAATCTCATGTATAAGATAGATTAGCAACGAATCCGTAGCGTGAGCGAAAAGCTAACTGTATGTCTACGGTTTCCCAGACAGCATACAACGATATCTCCCCTGTGGGTAACAGGCTCAACAAGGCAGTTTGGTAGCCGTCTTGTGTATCTACCTGTATGTTTTGTTGGGAAGTTGTGGACAGACGATTTCGGGGAACTCGGTTTGTTGGGTATGAGGGGGGCATCTTACCGAAGGCCACAAGATGCGGATTTCAACCGACATAATCAACCGATGGTTGTAAGGGTTTTCTCGCTAGATCTTGTACACACACGGCACCTCGGAATCAATGCGGGAGCACACACTCCCCGTTGGGCAGCAGCAGCAGCAGCAGTAGCAGCAGCAAGAAGGTACTCTGCGGACGCTGGGGCCGACAGCCCCCTCGCCCCTCTGCAGACCAGGCACAGAATTTATCATCAAGCAAAAAAATAACGTCGTAACTATCATCATCATCGCACAGATTTTGTTCTGATTTCAGGGGAGAAATCAAACGAACGAACAGACTCCGTACGGTACGAACTTCGGAAGAAATTATTTGCCGACGCCTCCTCTCACCAACTTTTGTGGCGTGTGGAGCCCACCCCACCTCTCACACTCTTTTCGCCTCTTGGCCTTTTTCTTTTGGTGTAAGGTGAGAGTAGAATGGCTCCAGCGGCGATGGTCAACCGGCGGTCGGCAGCGCTTGCCGCCGCCGTGGCAGCGGTGGGGCTCACGGCACGTCTGGCGTCCGCCCACCCCAACTGCAGAGGGGACTTCTCTCCCTCGTTCACCATCGACGCGCAGTTCTGCCCTAACACTCACGAGGATGGATTCTGCTGCAACGCCCAGGAGGAGAGCGGGATCCAGGCGGTCTATGAGGCCGCGGGCGCGACGGGCACTTGCGCCGACCTTTACCTCGAGGTGATGGGTGGGCGATAGTAGTAGCGATGAACGACGTTGGTGATGGTGGGGTTTATCTGCTGTGTGGAGCGAGGCGGGTGGACAAGGGCAGAGCGCCGCGTGCACAATCGTTTCAAAAAGTAGATCCCGCTCTTGAGTATTTTTCCGTGTTTCGTGTGTTGCGTGAACAGAAAGTAACGCACACGGTTTGGTTGGGGTTCGAACCCCAAGCGATCATGGACCATCAGGCCTTCCCTCAAGGGCAGCCGGCAGCAGCAGCAGTAGCAGCGGTTTGTAGCGCGCGAACGTCTCCGTTTGCGGGTGTTTTGTGAACCGCCAACTCCAGACGACCCAAGGTTGAAATGTATACCGATGAGAGAGGATACAGGGGTCACAATTCCCGCTGGCCCATCATATCCCCCTTTTGCTTCTGTGGGGTGCAAAACAGAAGCTGGTTGGTCACCGGGAATGTCTCAGCCGACCACCAGTCTCGTCCAAGTCTCCTCGCAGTGCGGTGTTGGCGATCGCGCTAGATAACTTGCGCCAAAGCCAGCATCGTATTTGATGGAGGAAACCCAATCCCGTCCAAGGATCGGTCACGTTGGCACGCGGAGGACGGGGTAAATACTTGAGCTTTCGTTGCTCAGCTACACTCAAAAACCTTCATACAGCAGTATATTTTTTGTTCATACAACGTAACCCAACGTATCCAACAATAATCATTCGGTATTATATTCTTCGTGATAAAATCGGTCTTTTTTGAAGTTCGCCTTCGTGTGGTGCGATGCATACCATTACTGTTCAGCTTGTGGTTCTTCTACTTTGCCCGATTTTCTTCTCCACGGCTGGCTGTTCGTACCCCTGGCGTGATGATATGACACCCTCTTCGATTTTTTCCTGTTTTTGCTAAATATTTCCCCCCGCAACCGCAAACTGACTGTCGCCCCTTCCAAAATCATCAGTGGCTCTCTGATAAAATCATCACTCGCTCCCTTTTCTCTGCCAAAATCAGTGGTGTTATCTTGTCTGAAGAAATCATCAGTGGCTCTCTCTTTGTCGAAGATTGATTTTTTTCGTCGACGAAAATATGTCTGTACAAACCAGGGAGCAATTTGTTAAACATCCGCCCCGCACGCACCCACGTTCGAGTCAAGCGGGAGCGCTGAATCATGCCAATTAATCAATTCGGTTGCGCATCGATTGATTGATTCGGTCTGCTTTGTTCTGGTTTCTTGATTCCGACCAAAGTGGTATTTTCATGTTTTTTTGTGAGCTTCACACCAAACCCACGTAGTCAACACAGTCAGTCCTCGTGTTGATCCCTTGTATTCTGAAAGTTGCTACCTGCCAAATTGTGTCAACGGCATAATGTATGTTCTTGTGTGCTCACTACCTCTGTAATTGTGAGTTGGGCGGAGGTGGTGTGAGGAGCGCGGGTAGAATTGAATAAGGATGCCCATTGTATGACGTCGTCACTGGTTTTGTAGAGAGACCCGTCAGAGATGGCGTGGCTAACCCGGGTGCCTTGGTTATGTGCCTGATCGTGGAAGACCCCTTCAATGTGGAACGATTCTTAGCTATTGTCGATATTTTCACTGCGTGCCTAACGCAGACGATCGGGAGAGATTCGGGTGATTGTCCATTGCAATCATGGCTTTGGTTGGTTGTTCTTTTTCACTGTACGTCCGCAGACACATTCTGACAGCACTTCAGACAGCAGCTTTGTGCCCCGCCAGCTTCTTGTTCCATGCCTACCATGGTGTTTTTGTACAGACAGCACTTCAGACAGCAAGTATGCTGTAGTCGGCAATCATTCGTTTTGGTACAGAGTGGGACAGGTAGGGGGTGATGTTGCTGTAGTCGAACGGTGAGACGGACGTGTAGTTCAGTTTTGGGCACGCGTACGGTGCTGCAGGGATTATATATAGGTGTAGTAGTACCTCTTCGGGCTCTTGGATACCTTTTTCTTGCTACGTGTGCGTGTTCTTTAGATCCTCAGATGGCTCTAGCACTTTCGTGACCACGGGCTGAGAGTCTTTGCTAGATTTTGGCATTTAGCAACTGGCATACGGTTTAATGTGAAGTCAACAACAACAACAACAACAACAATTGAAAAGGTCGCCATCGAGTAAGCTCTTTCTCACGTGTTATTTCTTGTCGTGAAAGTACCTGATGTGTGAGTATCTGCTTCATGGTGAAGATTACCTTTACCCGTTCATTCCGGTGGATTCACATGCCGCCCAGTGGAGGGCAAGAAAAAAGGCAGGTTGCTACAGGTTGCTACTCAATCAGCCATCAGACCTACTTTCTCGTGGAACGTGTGCAATTCGTGGACGACGTCGCGGGGGTAGCGCACCTGTCAAAATTCTGCCCGTTGTCCCCCAACGGTTACTCACGTCTTCGGTAAACATGACACCGATCAACTCATCATCCGGTTTCGGGGTATTTCTGCAATCAATCTCGATGTGGTGCCAGGTATTCATCTGCCGTACTGGCACGTGGTGATACAATAAATTATTGCGCCGTTCTACAAAGAACATACATACACAGAAGAGAAGATTTTGCGATGATGGCGAAGGATTGAGTGAGAGTGCGACGATTCGCCGCCGTCGCTCGGTCGGATATACCGTTACCCCAGGATCCTTGTTGGCTACAGCAACAGCATGCATGTAAGAAAAACGCTCGTTCAGAAGAAGGGTGGCGGCACAGGGTGTGTGCATCGACCGCGGTAACCGGCGTGTGTTTGTGTGTGTGCGGGGCACTGAATGAAAATATTGTGAGGGTGATCAAAAAGATCGAAAGTGCTTGGAGGCCGATTTCCTCTCTGCCCGTGGAGACCACAACAGTCGCGCTCATGAAGGGGTTGTGGAATGTAACTGTGTGGATTTCCCCCGTTTGGCGCCAAGGCAGTAAGGGTACGGCAGGATGTCTATAAACGCAATGTTTGTGTTTGGCTGAGACCCGAGCCGGCGATTCGCAAGACGTAAGCTACCATATTCATACCCTTACACTTGTGCTCCAATTTTGAACTTGGTGCTGTTGTTTGGCCATCAAAAAACATGCGGTATCTCTCGAGTCTCGGGTCAACATCTCTACGGTCTCAACTGGCGCGGACGCCTTACGGCTCATGGTGTCCACCCGGCACGCGACTTGCGACTTGTTAAAAAAAAAGCTCAATCTGCTCGTTAAGCATCATACGTACATAATAAGACGTTGCTGCGAGATATCCGTCCGAACGGTCGAGAGAAGCAAGCTCGCGACACACTTGAGAATCCACTGTTCTTGGAGTGAATGCCCTATCTGTGGCGGAGTGTTCGAGAGAACAAAGTCTCGGAGCATGGGGTGCACATGAACAATGTCTCGCGCCGTTCCCTGCGTGTGCTTGCCCGTTCGCCGTCCGTTCCTACACCTTTCCGCCACCGGACGCATTTTTCTTGATGAAAAATATACTGCATGTGCTTGGACGTTTTTGAGTCGGATGCCTATTACCTCGCCTTGCCATCCGAGACCTAACTCTCCCTGACTGAGATAACTCGGTTCCCTTTACCGACCACACGCCAGGTGATGTGCGGGACGTGTCACCCTTGGAGTGGTCACCTCTTCGAGAGGCTCGACACGGCCATGACGCTCACGCAGGAGTTCTGCTCCGAGTTCTACGGCGAGTGCGCCACGCAACTCGGCTTGCCGGCGGACTACTGCGTGGTTCACGCCGGGCCGGAGGGGGACCAGTACTGGTCGTACCCGTTGGTCATCGATGGTACGTACGCGTGCGTGCTGCGTCATTTCTGTCCTACTGTAGTCAGTAGCGGTTGTTTGCTGCCGCTACGTGAATTAACCGTGTCGGCTGCCGTGTGTAGGCCAAAACCGTGTTGGGTGTAAATGGCGGACAGTTTTGAAGCACTAGGGCCACCCAAGATTTCATGGTACGCACGTGCTGTAGTTTGGATGGAGCTCGAGCTTCATGTTGCCGGTGGTCCTACACACTGTGTGGTATTATTATATTAGTTGTTCTTTCTCACATTAGCTCTGTAGTCCACAAAAATGGGGATCCCGTGGTCGCAATAACCTGGCACATCTGCATTCAACGCTGCGGGGAAACAAAACAAAAATAGGGCACAAGCCTCTCGGATAAAGAAAACATGACAAGAAAAGATTGACCGGTCGAGAAAAGAGCCCTCGGAAACCGATCAAAATAAACCAAAAAAAAATAAAGATAAAAAAATAAAAAGGAGGTCGCTTCCCACACCCGCCAAAAGAAAATCGCAGGGTAACGTACCAGCACATATGTGTTAGTCTTTCTAGCGCAGAAATCAACGAGATAAAACGGTTTTCGCCGTACTGGCCTGTTTTGAGACTGAAACCCTTGTTTCGTTGCCGGTGCTTATTACATGGACGTGACGGGCGCACGTGGATGATGCGCCCTCCGCCCGTCAGACTCTTTCAGCACCGACGGTCTCGTCAAGGCCTTCCCGGACTTGTCCGACAGCTTGATCCCCGACGAGCCGGTGGACATGCGAATGACTCCTGATGGGAGCAAGTGGTGGATCTTGGGGCTTAAGGGGCAAATCGTCGAGGTGCTTATTAATTGTTTGTTGAGAACGATGCAAGTACAGTAGAAGTCTTGTTTTGGCAGTTGCGGATGAGGGTTGTCACCCTGTGCGGTTGGAGCATTTTGACCCCTTCTTCGGCTGGTCGTTTCGTGGAAGAATTCGACAGCGAGCGGTGATTCGAACATGACATTTTTTTTATGTTGCGAATAACTCTCAAAAAGAAGTGGCTGTTCAATGAGTAATGTATGCGGCAACGTCTCGGTCTCGGGAGGTGGCGGTCCTGGTGGCACTTGTTCGTCGCTTCTCTAATCGCGCCTGTGGGGGCAGTTTGTGGTTGGATACGTTATTTTCTCGTGAGGTTTCGGCATTAGTTTTGTAAACACCCACATTTTTTTTTCGGTGGTTGTGGTTTATCGCATGGACCACGCCTGGTCCCAAGCGGTGCCAGCAGGCTTGGTCTCTGTCGAACCCTCGCCGCCTTGTTTTTCGTTTTCCTCGCATCCATGGCGTCCACGGAATGTGTTTTGAGTGGTTGAGGCGAACCACGATCGATCACCATCGAACGTCGATGCATGCCGACATGTTGGATACTTGGAGAAGAGAGTTGGTTAGGTCCTGAATTGCCAACGCAAGGCCAGGCGTCAAGAGAAATGCGTCACGGACGACATGATCAATTTTTCAACAAACGTGCGTTGTTGTCACCTCGCGCTTTGCACCGTCTTACTCTATTCTATCTGAAGGTCGATGTGGCGGACGCTACTTGGGCCAAAACCGTGCTGGACATGTCTTCCTTGGTCCTCTGGACTTTCGAAGAGGTACGTACGTACTTATTTTTGTGGGGTGATCGTGGTTGGTGCGTACTGCCTGTAGCGTTGCTGATACGTAGCCGTTGCCGTTATTTTTCTCGCTCACGATGGTTTGAAAAAGCACTCAATTCGGCGATTGATACCGTTGCTGCCCATGTTGCGTCTCTCCCGTATGCATACCTAGCATCGATCGTGGTTGGATTTGAGACCCCGTAGATTGGGTTATTTCCCCAGTCCTGGCGCGCACATTAGGATAATACTGTTGTGTCCTCGATCTCTATCCCTCCCCGGTCGTGATAGCTCACTCCATTCGCCGCTGGCAGTCTCCAGATGTGCCTGACCGTCCATAACCAACAACCTGATTTTAGAGAAGTTGTACCAAGCACGTAACGTCAAAATGAGACTATTGTACCCGTTGGAGATTATACCCCGAGGAGCGAGCGAGGGATGCCTGCTAGATGCTGCGATGTATGATCTTCTTGTCTGCCTGTTTTTGACGTTATAGCGCTCGTCCTAACACTAATAAACTCGCTTGGCTTGGTTGTCGTCTTGCCACAACAGGGACTCCTGAGCATGGCCTTCAGCCCGGCCTTTCACACCACCGGGGTGTTCTACGCTTCCTACGTCAACGGCCCTTCCGTGAGTCTAGCCAATCAGCTTGCTCGAAGCCTGTGCATGCGTCGTCGAAGGCACATCGAGCCGCGTCACATACACCAATCATGATGCAGTAGCCGTGTTTGTTGTGGCTTGAGCATCGTCGGACAGTCCACGAGGACGTTGTCACCAAACGTTTCGAGTACACCAACGGTCCCTCGAGTATATCTCGTTGCTCGTGTGCCCCTTACCGAAGAGTTAGTTGCGGTATTGTTTGCTGTAGCCACGAGTGTGTGCGTGCACACGTCGCCTGCCTGTGGTGTCCCACCACTCGCGCCTAATTGCGCTCTCCGCAACGTCGCTTCGCCCGAGGCGTGAGAGACCATAACGGTCATGGCCTTCACGGGGTATTTCGGCGTATCTTGACAATTTTTCCCGCCCTTGCCGCCTTGCTATGATAACTACCCGTGCTCCTCCTCCTCCTGACGACGACGACCATGGTATGTGTCGGTTTTATTTTGGAAAAAAAAACATCAGTTCGGGACCAACCGGCTGTCGAGGTTCAAGTACGATCCCGACAGCGCCGCGAACACCCTTGCCTCGGAGGAGATTCTGATCACCTCGTCCGAGAAGAAGTCGAACGTTCACTCCGCCGGATGGATCGGGTTCAAGCCCTCCAGCTACGGCAACGACGCCGTGAGTGTTAGTCCTGGCTTGATGCTGTTATCGTTGTTGCTGTTGTTGTTTCTTCGCATTCAAACCCGAGTCTCGGTTGTTGTTCCTGTTTCTCAAAGTTAAAAGCCGTTGCGATCTCACCATATCCCCTAGACTAACCCCGATTGTCGTCTTGTGTCCAAATGCTCAAACCAACTCCCTGTTCTTTCTCGCGTCAGGCCGGAGCCGTTCACGAGCTGTTCTGGGCGATGGGCGACAGCGGTCCGCAGCTCGACACCTCTGATCGCGGCCAGGACCCGAACATCTTGCACGGGAGCATCATCCGCATCGAGGTGTCCTCCGAGATGGGATCCGGGTACTCCATTCCCTCGGGAAACCCCTTTTCCGGCGGTGGTGAGAGAATGGGGGGTTCGGAAAGACAACAGAACAGAAGAGGGGGGGGCGGGGGTAGTTGGAAGAACGATAATCGCCAAAGATCTGCAATACAAAACGACAGTGAGAGAGCTAAGAAGACGAACCCAATCAAACGTTCATTTACAGAGACAGGGATAAGGAGGTACTAAACATATACCAGTCTACATGATTGTCGTCTTTTGACGTACGTCCTCGTTGCAGTTTCTTTTTTTCGAAGGTGATGTCTTCCTCGGAGCGAGTCTTGATTGTCCCCGCCTTTTGGGTTTTGTCACATGCATGAACATGCTGCCCTCTTCTGCCCGTACTGTACGAGTGTCAGGTGTCAGTGGTTGGTGCACAACAACGAAACCATGCTGTGTGTGTATGTGTGTATGTGTGTTTTTCGTCATCAACCCGTTCCCGTGAACCCTTTACCCTTGCCCCGACAACCTACGATACATGTTTGTTTCCAGGCGGAAGGGGCGAGATCTGTGCTCAGGGTATGCGAAACCCGTACCGGTGCAGCTTCGACAGGCTCAACGACGACCTCTACTGCGGAGACGTCGGCCACCTGGACGTCGAGTCCATCAAGAAGATCGAGTGAGTAAACAGTAGCAGCAACAGTCGTCCACGTACTGTCGGGTCAATGTAAAGGAGGAGACGGTAGCTTGCTCCTAGATAGATGAAGGAAGGCCCTGTCCTTGACACTCTTGTCCACGATCACCTAGAGATGGGAAAAAGGTGCGGAGGTTTACCGAATCTGTTAAAAAGTTAAAGTACGGATACCCTGCGAATCGGGCCCTCCTTAACTAACACACACACTTGCGTCTCTGTCTCCATTCCTCCGCATTTTTTTTTTTTTCGATCATGCCCTTTTGAAGCGTTTTCCGCGTTGAGAATTTTTTGGGGTCAGCCGATTAGCCCGGTCGGCGAGAGCTCATTAAACACACACACATACATGTTTCGTGTCTGATGTTACAGGTGCGGCAACAACTACGGCTGGAGGCAGTTCGAGGGCGACCGGTGCATGCAACAGATCGAGGACCAGTTTCCCGAGACGTGCGAGTTCCTCGACAGGTCCCCCTTCACATTCCCGGAGTTCAAGTGAGTCAACCCGTCTGTCGACGTGCATTCACAGCAACCCCGGAGCAAAGCAAAGTCTCGGCCACACCGTGTACCGAGCGTATTCGTGTTGCTTGTGGTTCGCCGCGAGGTGTAGAAAGCACCATCGCCCCTAGAGTGGCGTTTGTGTCCACTTCCAAGAGCTTGGTTCTCGTTTCAAGTTAGCGTTGACATGATGTCATGGATCAAAACATGCTTCTGCTTCGACGAAGTGATCTATTTGATATGCTGTTTCCCTTGACGCGCACGCTTCGTTTCCCGACATGCATTGTGCCCATGGCTCACCATCACCTGCCGCCGCCCCCGGTCGTCCCGGACCCCCCCCTCTTCTGCAGCTACTGCCACCCTGACTTCTACCCTGTGGACCACCCGTCCTACATTGTTTCTGACCAATCCATCTGTGGGGACCGGAGCGTCATCGGCACGGCGGTCATCGGTGCGTACCCTTCCCCCCCCCTCCCCGGCCGTCGGGATGCGCGTCACCCCCTGTAGAATCTCCCAGTGAATCTCCTGACTGGATACGTGCAGACATGTTCCTTGTCTTTGCCGCTCCTCCCGTTTAGGTGCCCCCGATCATCATACCGTCCCTCGAAACCGATGCCGCCATCCCCTTCCAGATTTTTGAGATGTGTGTTGTTATTGCCCTCTCGTCCCGTGTAGGCTAACCTTCCCCCCCCCCAACCCTACACTTGTTCTGGGTGATTATTCAGCTGGGTACGTGTACCGCGGTGCCAAGTACGACGATCTTCTCGGCGGCAACCTCATCTTTGCCGACTTCACGCTCAAGTGAGAAGAGGAACACCCTAGCATTCTTTTCTTGATAACTGTCATGAACGAGGCTTGTAGAAGCATCAACGAATGCAAACTGCATGTGCACTGCGGCCTTGTGGCGTGGTTTTAGAGCAACAGGTTTATCTGTGAAGTCGGACTAGGGGATGTTTGAGATTACACTCACTTGACAGGTACCCCCCTCCCGAAGTAGATGTGCATGAGCCCCCGCGCATCCCCCATCCGCGCCACGGCTACACATCAGGGCGTTCATTGTGCTCGTTCTAACTTACACTGCTGGGTTGTCTCGTGCGTGTTCCTCGCTGCTTTTTGTTGCTTTGTGATCGATGGCATCAGCCGGCTGTACCACCTGTTCCCGACAAAAGGTGGTGGCTGGGGCTCCGGCACCATCAAGGGTGACGACTTCTTCGCGGTATCGCACATCGCCGAAGACAACGACGTGAGAAATGCCTAGTGTTAGATATACAACATATCCACTGAGGTAAATAGTCAGCGCTGTTTTAGGTCAGTGGATATGTTGTACTTCCAACAAGTGCAACAAGGGTTCGAATCCCTCTGGGAGCCATCTTGACGCCTTTTTTCAAGGAAGAGAAAAAACTCTGGGATACACACCTGAAAGTCATGGTACACATCATCACCAGTCGTCAACGATGAAGACACATATCCCATGCGGTAGCTGTCCTTATCTCCAAGGCGTTGTGTTTTGTTTGTCTTAGTAGATAAAAAGAGGGCCTACTATTTTCCAAGAATCTAACATCGCCCAATAAAAATCGTGACGATTTCCCCCTGTAGTATCTACCAGGCGTTGTTGTTGTCCTCGTTATTGGATTGTTCACGGTGAGGAGACCGGCGAAGACAGTAGATCGTTGTGCACGAAATACTTTCTTGGGCTTCCTCCTGTTGGATATTGTTTCATTCGTGTCATGGATATTACGAGGGCACCGGACGAGCCAACGCCGTTTGTTTAGGCTATAATAGTGCCCTTTTAGCGTTGTCTCAACAGCACTCCAAGGGGACTATTCGCTATCGGATCGGGCCAAACTTTCCTTTTCGTTTATTGCTCGACCACAAATCACCACATGGTAGATGACCACGATGAGCCATAACCTTGTCTACTTTTTTGCCACTCAGTGTCATTTGTTTTGGTTGTTGTTTTGCTTGTCCCTTCCGTGACCGCCGTTTCTCCCTCGGTCGCGCAGGGCGAGCTGTACGTGGTCCAGTACCAGGGCACCATCTTCGAGATGCCCTGCGGAGACCTCTGCTCCGGCGACAACGTCAACCCCGTCTTCCCTACCCCTTCCCCTACCGAAACTCCCCCGCCGACCAAAGCCCCGATCGTCCCGGCAACCCCGTCCCCGGTACCCCCGCCTACCCCAGTGCCCACCGCCGGCCAGACCCCGTCCCCTACCGGCGCTCCGGTCACGACGGCACCCACCCCGGCGCCCACCCTCGCCCCGTTCACCCCGTTCACCCCGGTGCCCACCGAGCAGGGCGACACCGCCTCCCCGACGATGGCACCCGTGCCGGCGACGCTTTCTCCCGTTGATCCCCCGACGCCCGCACCCATGGTGCCGGAGACCCCGGCCCCGGTGCTCGCGACCGTGGCACCGGTCCTTGCGACCGCGGCTCCGACGGAGGCGATGACCCCCGGTCCCGTGTTTGCGACCATGACCCCGGCCCCGCTGTTCGTGAGGACGGCGACGCCCGAGGGCATGCCGGAGCCGCAGGACCCCGGGACGGCGGCGCCGGAGGCAAGGCTCAGCGACAGTTACGACTTCGACAGGATGCCCATCCGCACGGTCACGGAGCCCCCGATGCCGGCCGCCCCGCCGAGCACGCCCGAGGGCACCGCTTCCCCGTAAGTCGATGATTTGACGGTTTTTTTTTTGTGTCGGTCGTGTCCTCCAATTGCGAGGGGTGCGTGGGGGAAAAGGAGTGATAATTGGTAGAGGGTGTTTCTTGAGGGTTTTTGCCTTGGTTGTTGTATTTTGCTCCTTGTTGCCTCCAGCCCCCGATCTGCAGAGTGTTAACCTTTCGTGCGTGTGCTCCACGCTCGCCACTGCTGTTGGGTATCGTGCCGGTTCGGTTGGTCCCATTGTCGCGCCGTGAAGCTCTCCCGGTGCTCAAGTATCACGCCTCTCCCATGTACGGACTGTAACGGCTGTTTTTTTCCGCCCTGTCCCCCTCCTTTTCCGTTCGACCGTGTTCCAAACTATACAGGGAGGCGGCCCGGCCTGTCGTGCCTGCGCCGGCCACGTGCCGCGGGATCCCGTCTCGCCTGGGACAGTTCTGGTGAGACAAGCGACAGAGTGGAGAGTGGTATCCTCCGCATGTTAATTGAATTGTTGGCAACATGTGGGATATAGTGTGGTTACGACAATGGTCTGGGTAACCCTTGCCTTTTCATTTCATGTAGATAGGACTTCAGTTTCTGCGCGTGCGCGTGGGCAGTCCAGGCAGACAGAGATGAAGAGATCGCACTGACCAATCTCGGGTACTGATGCAGATCGGTATCGCCAACTAGGGGGTAGATATAGCTACCGTGGTGTCGCGTACTCCCCCCCCCTCGCCGATGCTTGACAGGGTGATGACCCTTGGCCTGTAGTACGACGCAACACGCTTGACTTGTCGCTGAACGCTGCGCCTCCGCTCTCTTTTGTTTTATGCCCTCGTCTTTCGGATGGTGACGGCTGCGGTTTTTCTCGCACAGCTGCTCGGTCTCGTGCGGGGAGGAGTGCGGAGGTGTGGGCTGCTCCGGCAGGCCCGGCGGAAAAGAGGGCTGTTGCACTCACGCCATCGAGGAAAGCGGCATACTCTGCGCGGACACCGGAGGAGAGCCTCCCTGCCGCATCCCCCCGAAAGGTACAACTATGCAACCCAGCGGTTGGTTTGCTTCTGTTGTTTTCTATCGCGGAGTTGGTTAGCGCCCGCAGGTGGGAAAAGCAACTGCCTGTTTTCGACCAGAGTATGTTTCCACGGAAAAGCGGATAAATGTACGGTATTAGCTTTTGAGATTTTTGTTGTAAATGTTCACACCTCCCTCGCTCTGCTTTGGAACGACGGCACGACAAGAGAAGCTCGCGGATAAATAACCGAACGTCACGAACGTGTTGCGCCTACGCGGTAATGTAGACCACCTTACTAAATGCTTGCGTGTGTGTGTTTTGTCGTCGCAGACGAAACCGCCCCCCCGCCGTCCCCGGTGGTGCCCGACGCACCCGACGGGCGCACCGAACCCTGCACGGAGCCCCTCATCCCTGCGGAGCCCCTGGAGCAGCCTCCCGTCTCTCCCGAAGACGCCGCGCTTTGCACCGCCGACCTCGGAGAAGACGTGGTGCCGATGACCGGTCCCGAGAACGACGAGGTACTTGACAGAAGAGGTTGTCGATCGCGTGCTGTAGGTTCTGCCGTAGCTATTTTGTTGTATACAGGAAAGTATTCCTTTTCGTCTGGTGTAGTGCCGACCCTCGCAGCGCGCGTGTTGTTATGATGAGGGTTGAGCCTCGTGGGTGCACAACCTACATGTGGAACGCTTGTTGATAGGGGTCCACGCTGACGGCATGTCTGTCCACAGCCTGCTCCTACTAGTACTACATGGTATCGTGGGTGCTATTGTTCGACCCCCCCCCCCCCCCCCCCCCCCCCCCCCCCCCCCCCCCCCCCCCCCCCCCCCCCCCCCCCCCCCCCCCCCCCCCCCC